CCCTCCCACTGGACTGTACCCATGAGTTGGTGTTACTTTGGCAGGTTTGGGCTAGTAATTTTTTGGGAGAAAGCAAGGCCAGTTGAATAAAGGGAATGATTCTTCTTAAAATGCAACCAGGAGAAGGGACATCAGGGGGAAAATGGCTAAAGAAGCTATTTTCATGTGTGAGTAAATGAACGCAGGCTGTTCGGGAACGTGTTTTCGAGGTATAGGAGGCACAAAGGGATGGAGAACATCCCAATAGGGCTGGAAGGAACCCTGGGCTGGAAACTGGGTACTGCATCAAGCGTCTGAGACACGCTTTTGTATGATAAGGCAGAAACCAATGCTGTGCCTGGGTGCCTCTGCCTGGGTTGTTGCATGCTGCTGGAATAGGTGTGAGTTTCGGGTGTCTCAGGTTTCAGCAGGAGTCATCTTTATCTTTGAAGCAGACAATGGACCACAAACCACAGCAGTGTCAGATTCACGGCAGCTGGGGCTTTTTGGGGGGTGATTTAGAAACAAACCAAACTCCAGTTTTCATATCACTTGCCAGGAGCCCTGGGTGAGCTGTGGAACAGGAGGGGTGTGCTGAAAGTTCGCTTCCTTTCTGAGCAAACCCAGTGGTTTCAGCATGGCTGAGGTGTTTGTCCATCCTGCTTAAACATGGAAGAGGTTCTTTGGTATTTGTTTCACTTGTCCTCCACTCAGTTCAGGTCATTTCCTACTCACCTCTGAACATGGTCTGTTAACTGCCTTGCTCTTACAGACCAAGTTCTCCCTCATCCTTGGCTCATACGTTTGGAGATGCTGTGACAGGTTTTCCTGTCATCTTTGAGAAGGGACTCAGGTGTGTAAAACCTCTGGTTTTCCTCTGCTAAAATACAGGAGCTCTTCTCATTTTTCCACTCCTAGCTCATCTATGTCCCCTCTCATTTACCATCACTTACTTTTCAGTGTCTTGAAGGAAGTCTTTGACCTCTCTGAACTAGCCTGAGGTTCTCTATGGCTTGATGCCACTAAATTACATGGTTGTAAGTGGTTTAATGGCTGCAGAACCAGAGCAAAGCCATACAGTGGAGCACTTCTTCCCTGCCACAGTCTGAGTCACAGATTGGTTTGTATGGGAAGGGACCTTAAAGCTCAACTAGTTCCAACCCCCTGCCACAGGCAGGGACACCTTCCACTAGACCAGGTTGCTCCAAGTCCCATCCAACCTGGCCTTGAACACTGGCAGGGATGGGGCAGCCACAGCTTCTCTGGGCAACCTGTGCCAGCTTCTCACCACCTTCACAGTAAAGAACTTCTTCCTAATATCTAATCTAAATCTCCCCTCTGTCATCTTGAAGCCAATGGCTTTAAAGTCATGGCCTTCAGGAGGTATTTGCACCACATTTATGTAGGCCTCTGGTTTAGGTACCTTGGTACCTACGTGTCTGAAGGATCTAGTGGGTGTAAAAAAAACAAACAAACAACCCATGAAAAATCTAATAAAAATCACAGAATTAAAAAAGGACTCAAATCAGACTCTTGCCTGCAAAGGTATTTCCTGCTGCAGGAAATACAGAAGCTGTTAGGATAGTTCCAACATGTTTCGGTTGGCCTGGATAAGTCCACAGATGGATATGTGAAATCTGAATTACTGACATCTGGGAAGTGGTTAGTTTAAATAGAGTCACAGGCTAGATCCTTCTCCCTTCTCAGAATGACCACTCAGCATGCAAAAGTATTAGCTACTCACAAGAACTGCAAGCCTTTCCTTCCTGAGAAGACACCGCAATGTCCATCAATGTACTCAGTAGCCATAAACTGAAACCACTGTGACTACTATCAAGATGATTCAGAAACCCTGGGATTACAGCATCTCTGTCAAGTTCTCCTTTCTCTCCACATTTATTTCACCGTTCCTACCCGAAGCAGAAACTCGTAGCAGCTTGAAGACTAGCTAATGTATGTCTTCTGGGGCAATGTTCTGGGGATTCACCAAACTACCCAGGCGATGGGGGAAACCCACGTGCATCACTTCAGAGATGGAGCCAGGGCTGGGCTTCACGATGAAAATCTGCTTCTAGGTATGAATCAAGGGGGTACATCTGAAAGGGCACCACTGGTTATGCTTGGTTCATCTTCACAGCCATGTAGGCAATGACTTCATGCCACCCCACAACCTGAAATTGCAGAGCTGAGCCTGTGCTTTGGGTTGTCTTTCCAGAAGCACCTAGGGCCAGGCCAGGGACACTGTTGGGCAACACTGCTGTTGCAGCATGGCTGTTGCTTCCCTACATCCCCAGGATTGACTTCTCCCACTTGGAGGAAAGCTTCTGCCAAGGCCACCTGTGCAGAGGGGACAACTTCCTTGGTGCTCGAGAGGAAGAGAAGGCACTCCTGCCCTTCCCCCCCACTGGACGTGTGGGTTTCATCCTGGCTGCAAAGTGAATTGATGAGCACCATGGGGGGGCTTGGAGCAACCTGGTCTAGTGGACGGTGTCCCTGCCCATGGTCCCTTCCAACGCAAACCATTCTAAGACTCCATGACTCTCATGGAAGAAGCACTGCAAGGTTGAGCGTAAAGCAACAAGCACAAAGCAGCACATCCCTAAAGGAGGCATCTGGGGTTTTGTGTAGGTCTGGGGGACAACACATGCCCCAGGCTGAAACTCAGGTCACTGTGGCTGAACTGATTGCCCAGGACCCCTCTAAAGCCACCTCTCTAAATCCATCCAGCCTAAACACGGCTCTGTAGCTCCCACTTCTCTCATGGGTAGCCAGGAGATGGACACCTGCCCTGTAGCCACAAATCTGGGTGCCATTTCACACGTAAGTTATCTTGGCCTGTCCATTGCATGTCTCCCAGGGGTAGATTCTTCCTGTACTGGTTTCGTTAAGCACTGCCAGCAGTGGTGTTGGTTTCCCCTGGTCATGGAAGAGCCAGTCTTGGAGCGTGCCCAAGCTCTGTCCTCTCCACTGTGCATCTCTGGGGAAAGTTGCTTTCACTTCTCTCAGTTTTCCCCAGCTATAAAAGGAGGAGCATTTTGAAGTCATGAATTTCAGAAAGATGTTGAAACTTCTTTCGTGCCTCTATGGCACTGTATGTGACCTGTTATCTCTCCTGGTAAATCCCTGCCTTCCCCACGGTTGTACAGACTTTCCTTTGAAGAGATTTCTGCCACAACCCAGCAAAACCATTTAAACAGTCCTGGGTTGGGCTCCTTCTAACAGCTCTCTGCAGGGAAATTGAAAACTCTGAAAATATTGAACAAAATACAGTTATAAAGCCATCTCCTTTTCCACTGCCATAGCAGCCAGGCTTTCATTCCCTCCATAGGATTTGGCAGTAGCTCATTCAGATTGTCCCTGGCCTCTCTGCAACCCTGATGTGCAGGGAATTAAATTCTTCCCTCATCCGTTTTTGACCATTTTCTCTTGAACAAGCTCTTGACAAGAATTTTGGACCTATCTCAGGGGGAAAACAAGTTTCAAAGAGGAAATGAGAACTTAGGATTTGAATGGAAGGTGTTGGGTTTTTTTTTGACATTTACCATTTTGCTACTCTATAAAATGCTGATGTGATTTGAAAACTCCAAATTACAATGTAATCACACAATCACATCATTTTTCGTCTGCCCGCTTCCTTCCTCCTCACCTCGCTATTGTGGCCACGTGTCCCCACTTCCCCTTTTGCTTCCCGGCTGGTGACTTTGCTTTATTCAGGGCAGCTCACATCCCAGTAAACCCTATGTGAGACCCATTGCTGTCTCACAGTACTACCCCCCTGTGTGCCAAAATGCTTTGCTTCAATCCTTCTATGGCTCGTTTTGAGAGAAACCCAAAAGATGCTATGAAATGTGTGGAGGAGCAAGTGCCAGACCATGGTCCCCCGAAATGGACAGGTTTATTCCCTTGTGTGGAAAGCTTGGAGCACATTGCCAGAATAAAGCCTTAAAACCTTGTGGACGCGTGGTTCTGCAGCACTATAAGGATGTGCACAGTCTGACCTCTCCCTTTCCACATGCTCTTACAGCTTCTCACTGCCACGTACATGTCTGCTTTAGTGCCATCAATCTTCCCACTACCATTTGATTATCCCAGCTGTGAATGATAGAATCCGAGACTGGCTTGGGTTGGAAAGGCCTTAAAGTTCATCCAGTTCCAACCCCCTGCCACAGGCAGGGACACCTTCCACTAGACCAGGTTGCTCCAAGCCCTGTCCAACCTGGCCTTGAACACAGCCAGGGATGGGGCAGCCAAAGCTTCTCTGGGCAACCAGTGTCTCACCACCCTCACAGAGAAGAACTTATTCCTTTTATCCAATCTAAATCTCCCCTGTTTAAGCTTGAACCCATTACCCCTTGTCCTATCACTACAGTCCCTAATGAAGAGTCCCTCCCCAGCATCCCTATAGGCCCCCTTCAGATACTGGAAGGCTGCTATGAGGTCTCCACGCAGCCTTCCCTTCTCCAGGCTGAACAGCCCCAACTTTCTCAGCCTGTCTTCATACAGGAGGTGCTCCAGCCCTTGATCATCCTCGTGTCCTCTGAACTTGCTCTAACAATTCCATGCCCTTCTTACGTTGGGAACACCAGAATGATGTTGAACTGGCTCACTGGCTGCATAGCATACTGTGTCCCATAGCTCATAACATCATAAAAGGCTGATCTTTCTTGAAACAGTAGGTGGTCAGGACACTTCTAACTAAGCCCCAACTATTTCAGGTCCCAAGTGCTGTAATGGGATACTAAATAGAACAAAACAAGAAGATCTCTTCTCCCTCCGGTCCCAGTACTGCTCAGGTCTTGCTCTCATTAGTTCCTGAGTCCATCCCAGCCCTGTTGCTTTTCCTGCTGCTATTCTCTGGCATCCATCCATGCTTCACTCCCAGTCTGCTCGTACCAAGAAATCTGTTGCTGATCGACATGCACATCAGGACTCAGCCACAGATGTGCAGAGACATAAGAATAACTTGCTTTTTGCTGGTGCTACTGTACCAGTCATTTCTTGACTTTCCTGGTGTTGGGTCAGAGTGGAAACGTGTAGCAGAGATCTTTATTTTTCCATGGTTCACTGCTAGGCAATTTTGCTGATGTAAGAGGTAGCAAAAATAGCGTGGGGGAATTATAGCCCTAAGAAAGAAATATGTAAATATCTGAGTGCAGTGAAAAAACCCTGCTTGCCCCGGGTTTACGCTTTCATTTTATTCTGGGGTCTTTGTGTGGTTGAGGGGTGAATGCTAAAGGGAAAGAAGGGTGATGCTTTGACAGACCCAGCTGATCAGAAACAGGGTGCAGGGAAGATGACGTGGGGACTCCAAACAGGCGCTTTGTCCCGATGGCTGGTTTTCATCGGCAGTGGTGTAAATTCGGTTTCCGACCCGGCTGTGGGAGGCATCTGAGAAATTACATCACCTCTCTTCATGGTCCACCGGTCAGATGTGACTGATGAAGTCTGAATCTTGCTGCTTGTATAAGAGCGCAACCCTCCTGAATAAAAAGGGGGGTTCTTCAGCTGGTTCCTCAGACCTCCTCCAGGGCTGAGCCTGCCACGAGGATGCGAACACCAGCTGGGATGGGGATGGGAGCCCCAGTGCTCCTGTGGCTGCTGATGCTGCTGGTGATGTCCCACTTAGCCGATGCAGGTGAGCTTCTGGTGTCTCTACAGATACCCATGGTGGTCAGCTCCCAGCCTGCCGTGGTCCTCAGGATGGATGGGCTCATCTGCATCCTGTGCCTAAAGGGACCCAGGGAAACAGAGACATCCTGTTTAACCCAGGATTTTTCTCATATCTGAAGAAAGAGCGTGACCATCCTGCTTGGCTAGGTTCAGCTTTCAGGAGGTGTGTGAGAGCAGGGCGCTGAGGTAGAGTCACAGATAACAGTTTCCTACCATGGTCCCTAAAGCATTGTCAGGGAAAGCATGGGGAGTGATAATTTCTTTGTCTCTAATTGATTTGGAATTGTGGCACCTCTAAATAACTCTGTCTCTGTAAACTGCTACCTTCTCTCTTTCCCAGCCATCCTGGAGGTGAACGGAAACCTGAACTGTAGATGCATAAAGACAACCTCAGACTACATTAGTCCAAAGAGATATGAAAGCATTGAGATAAGACCCGTGGGAAGCACCTGCAGGCGTACAGAGATCATGTAAGTGCCAATGGTGGCTCATGGGATGGAAAGCTGTCTCCTCTGGCTCCTATGGAGCAGCAAGGCCAGCACTGAACCTTTTCTGCTGCAACCACCCTGCTCCTCCAACCCCTTTCTGCTAAACCAAGGCTTTTCAAGCTCGCTCATGCTTCAGGGCTGAGAAACATCAGGTCATTTCTGGTGGAGGAAGTGCACCGGAGTGACATGCCAAAGGTCCTCAGGACCTGAATGGAGCTTTACAGCAAGGTAGAGTGTGATTTCCTCATGCTGGTGGGGGCTGTTTGCAGTTTGGAGGAAGAGCATCCTCAGACACTAAGGCAGGATGAGCCATAACTGATATTTTCACCACCAATATGAGAGCAGAGAGTAAACTGCATCTTGGGTCAAGCCCTTGTGTCTTTACTCCTATCCAGACTCAAGTGGTGTCTTAAGCAGATGCATCAGGTTGTTTTAACTTCTCTGCACTGATATATTTATGAACCTACAGAGAAAATAGTCTTTGAACAGGCACCTTAGGGCTTGAAGCACATGTTCCACATGGGAACGTGTTTCATCTTGCTTTTTCTTGAGCATCCCGTGGCTTCCTGCAACCTGCTGGTGCTGTAAATGAAAGCTGAGCATTGCAGATCAACCCTGGCTGCTCGGATCCGTGCCTTTGGAGGGAAGGGTAACACTCATAAACACTCTTTGTGTTTCAGAATTAAGCTAAAAACTTCAGGAAAGGTGTGTGTGAATCCTGATGTCCCTTGGGTAAAGAAGCTGCTGAAGCGTATTGCTAGCACGTAAGTTGCATTGATGAAAACTCTTTTGGCTCAGGTGGCTCTGGACAGCATCCCATCCTATCCTTGGTCCTGGGGAGCACTCGCAGGTCATGAAAAGAAAAAATACTGGGGAGGGAATGACAGGATTGGGATTTGCTTATTGCAGGTGCAATAGTGTGTTGCTACTTGGCTGGGAAAGCCACCATCCTTTGTCATTCCTGTGTTTTTGGCACAGTGTGGGGCAGCTGAGAGGAGACATCCCCATGAGTGATTACAGAATCCTACAATGGTTTCTATTGGAAGGGACCTTAAAGCTCATCCAGTTCCACCCCCCTGCCATGGGCAGGGACACCTTCCCCTCGACCAGGTTGCTCCAAGCCCTGTTTCACCTGGCCTTGAACACTGGCAGGGATGGGGCAGCCACAGCTTCTCTGGGCAGCCTGTGTCAGTGCCTCACCACCCTCACAGGGAAGAACTTCCTAATGGCTAATCTAAATCCCCCCCTTTGGTGATGCCTGTCCTGGGGACATGGTGGTGACTTGTCATAGAATTATTGAATGGTCAGTGTTGCAAGGGACCTTAGAGATGACTTCTTTCAGCTGGGGCAGGAGCTTCATCCCCCAGGACCCGATTTCGATTTCTCTGTGTTCATGTGTTTCTCCTCCTTCTGCTTTTCACAGGAAGAAAAAATAAGTTTCCTGAGAAGGAAGCTGACGCTCAGAGCCCTGAGATGCGCTGGCAGATGATGCACAGGAACCTGGTTGCTCCCCACTTTGCCCTTGCTTCCCTCCCTCATCCCGAAAGTCCCATGTCTAGCCCCCCAGCAGCAGCCCCTGCAGGGAGGGCAGCTCGCTGATGATCCAGCCCCGTGGCAGGTTCTGGAGGTGTTTCCCCTCTGCATTCAGTCCCTGGATGAACGTGAATGTGAACCCTGCATTTCTTTACTCTACCATACACTGCAAAGGGGCCACTCCTGCCTCTGTAGGAACAACTTTGTGACTCTTTCCATGCGGAGCACTCATTGACATGGTGTGTCTGTGGTTTTTATTACACAGCATGGCATGTCCTGGCCTGAGAGCTCAAGTCAAATAAAATTCAGGGTGTTTTCCATTTGTTGTAATTTCCCAGCTTTGATAAACCCCACTGCTGTAGCCTTCCTGGAACTCAATTTCCGTCTTTTGCATCTGGCACTCTTGTGTTGATGCTCTTTCATAGATATGCCATAGGCATTAAAATGTGCATTTGAATGTGTATCAGGTGAGGTATCTGTACTATAGGTAGGGGAGTGAGGGCAGCACTCAGGTGCTGTCAGACACAATGACAGCCCCTTTTACGCTGAGGAATGAGACAGGAGCAGGAAAAGGTTTGCTCAAGGCATCAAAGGGAGATGGGAGGGGCGTTCCAGCCCTGAACCACCAGCAAGCACCAGCGCTGGCGATGAGGCTGGAGTCTGCCAGCAGTTGAAAGCCTTCTAAAAACAGTAAAGGCCAATAAGAATTATAGACTCAAACTGGTGATTCTGAATCACAGCTTCTCCTGGCAACCTGTGCCAGTGCCTCACCACCCTCACAGGGAACAATTGTTTCCTAGTGTCTAATCTACATCTCCCCTCTGTCAGTTTAAAGCAATTCCCCATTGTCCTGTCCCTACATGTCCTTGTAAAAAGTCCCTCTCAAACTTTCTTGTCAGCCCTTTTAGGTATTGGAAGGCTGTTGTAAGGAAATATAGGGGGTGGGCATGGGGTCACTTGGCAGAGTTTTGGGATGGGAAAGAGCAAAAGCAGACACCACCAAAGCTCAGGCTGGGGGGAAAATCTGTTTGTAGAAGAAATGAGTAATATCAGACCATGCAGAAGATAAAAGCACCCTAAAAAACCTTGGGGCTTGTGCAGCTGCATGAGCTTGAGGACAAACACTGGGACAAAGGCCCAATATCTTTACAGGACCCGGCTTCATAGAAAGGGGAAAATGGAACCGGTTTCAGGAAGCCTGGGCCCCTGATGGGCAAAACCCCCAACTCCCCCCCCCCGCCGACCCTGGGGCCTCCCACCGGCACCGCCTCACTTCTCCTATTTCCCAGCTCAAATAAGGGGATGCTGGTGGTGCCGGGGATGGGGCCGGCATGGCTGTGCAGGCTGCCCTGCTGCTGGGGGTGCTGCTGCTGACCCACCACCATGGGGATGCAGGTGAGGCTCCCCGTGCATGGGGCTGGAGGATGCTGGGGAGGGTGGAGACATTTTCAGAAGCATCATCCCCCTATCCCGACATCCGGATGTGCCTCCGGGGCTCTCATGCAAGGGGATGTGGTGATCGTGGTGGGACATAGGGGCAGATGCGTTGCCCAAGAAAGAGTGCTGGGGGTGGTGGTGGGTTTCAGGTGATGTGCAAGCCATGTGCCCATCCAGCCCTCTTGGAAGCCAACGGCAACCTGAGCTGCCGCTGTGCCAAGACCACCAGGGCCTTCATCCCGCCATGGAAATACAGCAGCATTGAGGTCCGGCCAGTGGGGAGCAGCTGCCGGCGCCTCGAGGTGATGTAAGTGCTTCTTGGGGGGGGGGGGTACAAGCCCTCTGCTCCCCCCATCCTCCCTGAATTATTTCAGTTCCACCCTTGATGAGAAGCACAGGAGGGCTTGGCTGCTCCAGCTCCTCTCTGTTCTCTAGGATTAAGCTAAAAAGCCTGGAGAGGGTCTGCGTAAATCCTGACACCCCTTGGGTGAAGAAGCTCCTGCAGGACCTCCCTAACCTGTAAGCCCTCCTCAGCCACAAGTGATGGGGTTTCCAGGCAGGAGCAGTGGCACCCCATCTTCACTTGTTTCTCCCTGCTTCTGCTTTTGGCAGGAGGAAGAAAGAGGCTCCCCACTGAGGAAGCTGCCACCGGTGGGACAGACAGATGTTCTGGGCCTGAAACTGGTCCTCATCTCCCACACTGCTGTCTCCTTGTGCGGAGGCAATGATGCTGCTGAGTGATGCCTTGAGCCCCCTTTTCCTTGGCATTTTATGCATTTAAGCCCTTGAAAATGCCAGTACCCCCTTCCCCACCCTTCCCCAATGGGCTGGGTGCCCCTTCAGGCACAGCCAAGCAGGTCCAATAAAGGCAGCATCTCTTGGTCACTCTCACTTGCATCCCTTCTTGCAGGATTCCAGAGGCTTGAGGGTGCTCAGGGGAGCAGAGGCGGGGCTCACCGCTGTTTCTTCACCAAGAAACATGGGGCAAGGACATGTTAGGAGGTGGCCACAGTGGTTTCTGCCTTTTTTGATGGGGAGCTGGCGTGCGCCACCACGTGCAATGGGGAAGCGGTGGCAGGGAAGTCGATGCATGGGGCAGCTCCTTCCTGCCCCCCTCCCTGGCGTTTCCCAGGCTCCAAAATCCCCGCCTGACTGGCTATAAAGCAGCCCCAGGGCAGCCCGGGCCGGGGGGTGAGGATGCAGCTGCTGCCGGCAGCACTGGCCATGGCCCTGCTCATGGGCAACTTGGTGCCGGTTGGAGGTGAGTGACCTTGGCGTGGGCCTCTGTCCCCCTCCAAACCCCTCGCTGGGGCACTGAATGGGGCTGACCATGGACTTCTCTCAGCTTTTGGATTTGTTTCTTGCCTACCTTTGAGCTTCAGTTTATCACTTAAACTCCGTGGTTAAACTGGAGGGGGATGCTGGGGACTGGGCGGGATTTGCCTGATGGGTTTAAGCTGCTTCTCCTCAAGACCCCTGTGAAATCTGAGTGTGCAGTGGGTGGGCAATGGGTTTAGTTTGTAAAGTACTGGTTAAGTTTCAAACCTTGAAGCTAAACCCTTTCTGTGTGCATGACAAGAAAGCTTTGAGCCTGTGCTGGGAGGGATTAGCTTTGCGTCGCCTCTTGCTGCTGCAAACCCCATTAACACAAACCCATGTCCCCGTGGGCACCAGCGATGGGATGGATCGTGACATGAGGATGGTGATGGGCTGAGACTGGGTGTGTGTGGGCTGCTCTTGGGCGCAGGTCTGTCGCTGGAGAGCCTGCTGACCAACATGAGGTGCAAGTGCATCAAACGGACTGCCCAGGTCATCAACCTGGGGCTGATCCTCGCCATTGATGTCACGCCGCCGGGTATTCACTGCAGGAGGAAGGAGATCATGTAAGTGGAAAGCTTTGCAAAGCAATCGCTGCTCACTGCAACCTGCCAGGTTGGACAGGGCTTGGAGCAACCTGCTCTAGTGGAAGAGGTCTCTGCCCATAGCAGGGGGTTGGAACTGGATGAGCTTTAAGGTCCCTTCCAACCAAACCAGTCTGTGAGTCTATTCTATGATTCTATGACCCAAGGTCAAGGCCTAAAACACCTCATCCATCTCCCAGCAAGGGTCACAGGGTGTGCTCATAATCCCGAAGGGAGCAAGAGGGGCTTTCTCTGCAGACAGCAGCCTGGTGAGGAACACTTCGGGGCAGAGGCGTGCGTGGGGCTGAGTGGGTCTCATCACATTGCAGTCTTACCCTGAAGAAAAACAAGAAGGTCTGTGTGACCCCCGAGGCGCCCTGGATCCAGCTGCTCATCTTCAAGCTGACACAGAGGTACGTGATGCCCGGTAACTGGACAACAAGGATCAAGGCAGGATGCTCCCCTGCCTCCTGATGGCTTTGGTTTCATTCCTTTCCTCCCCCAAAACCTGCAGGAACTTCACCAAGAAGGCAGCAGCAGTGCGGGTGCGGCGGGAAGCGGAGTGGTGGCGCAGGCTCCCTGCCCCATCTCTCCCTCTGTCTGAATACAGTGACCAGTAACCAGCTGGGTTCTGTGGCACAACTCCAGCGCTTGTTCTGCTCCCAGGGTTTTGGTGGGGGGCAGGAGCCTTCCTCTGCTCCCTCCTCCAACAGAAAGGCTTTCCTCTGGGGTGCCCACTGTCACCCTCCGTTTCGGGTACTTGCGCTTTTCCTGTGCGCGATGGCATGCCATCAATAAATGGATGAACGTGCGTCTCCCATGGCTGTGGCAGCTCTTTCTGCGTGGATCTGTGTCAAAATCAGGCTCTTTGGGGTGAAGGAGTTAGACTGGACCATGGCATCATGAAGCCGTTGGCTGCTTTGCCTCAGGGAACTTCCTAATGCGTTGCCTTTCCTCTGCCCCAAGTTCTTCTGCTTTTTCCCGATACCTCCTTGCGGGAGCTGGTTGTGCTATGGGATGCCGGAGTTGGATGGGGTCTGACCTCTGCAGTCTTGCAAGCACAGGAGAAATACTAGGAGATTTCCCAGTGACCAGCTGATGGATGCAGGCATCCTGCAGGGACCCCAGGATGTCCTTTGGCCACATGGACCAAGGCAATGCCGGTCTGATGGGCAACCCAGTGCAAAATCTACTTAATATCATCTCAAAATGAGCCTTGGCCATGCTAGTGGTGGGTGTCTGAGGCCTGGGGACCTCTTCAGAAGGGTAGCATTCCAATTTGCGTCACCTCCCACCACGACGGATGCCAGAAGTGCATCCCAGAATCTTGAAGCACCCATCCGATCACCACGTTCCCCTCCCTCCCACTCTCAGGAACCACAGAGGTGGACAAGAGTGGTTGCAAAAGGGCTGTTTATTGCCAACAGAAGGAAATGTAAGTACACAGGTGAGAAGAAACAAGCAGAGATTTAGCCCTCTCCCTCACGTGTGAGCAGTACCCTGGCTCCACAGCGCGGGTGTTTGTGTTTAAAGTAAAACAAAAAGGAATTCTTTCCAAAAAGGAAGGAAAACCGAACAGTTCTGGGTTTTGAGGAGCTCCCTTTGCTGAGCTGCCCGAAGGTCAAGGAAAAGCAGGGCTGCTTTGCTCAGTTGTCGTCGTTGCTTGGTCCAGGCTGGGTCCGTGCAGGGGAGCAGGTCTTCCCCCTGCTGTCTCCACTCAATGGGAATTGGCTTTTTCAGCCAGTGTTTCATTGCAAAGTTTGATTATGGGGGAAATTGCACTGTGGTGTGGCACCTTCTCCAAAAGGGATTTTCAGAGGGAGAAAAAAACGGATCCTTCTGTAAAAGCAAAGGAGAGAAGGTTCCTTTCCATTTATTCCTGTGGGAAAGAAGCAAGTTACTCAGTTTTTTTTTGCTCAGGGCTCAGTGGAAGGCTGCTCTTGCAGGCAGGCTGCTTGGGGCCACTGTCAGGCTTCACAGAGCT